CTCCAGACCGAATCGGTTCAGCGTGTAAACGAATAAGTCCAGGAAGAAGTCGGTGATTACGGTGGAGGTAGACCGTTTTAACTTGTAAAGGTTAATAATAGATAAATCCCGCCGTATATGCGTAAGTTTTGGCGAATTGAACTATAGGTGTGTTTAAAAACGCAATACGGTGAAGCCGCGATAAGGGAACTGTCACACAGCGAGGGACAATGGCATATTCATAATCTTCGACTGGTCAGCAAAACCACTTATTTTTCATTTTTGACCGATTTCGAATTTGACTTTTCCTTGTGGTTGATCCTGACTGATCCAGCACGACTGGTAGGGATCACCGCTAGTGCCGCCGTTATAAGTCATAAACTTAATCGCTGCTCATGCCTCATACAGCGTGATTCACATCATCTCAACTAGGGAGCTGACTTGATCCTGTTCGTACTACTCGTGGTGATCTTTTATCCGATCTCATCACTGTCGTAACAACCACGACCAGTAGTAGTACCCTTTATACATCGCAGCCTAACAATCCAGCATGTGAAAGCATAGAAAAGAAGAACTCGTTATATCATCTGTGTACAAAAAGTGACAGGTTACACGTATAAACGGGCTACCTAGCACAGCTGGGAGCTTATTAGCGGGAACCATGCTATGGAAGCCCCTCAGTGGCAAGAGGCAGCTGACATCGAGAACTCTTGTATTTGCTCGCACTCATCTCCCTCTAACAAACGTTTTCGGTATGGTTTCAGTGAGAGCTGTAAGTGAACCAATTCATGATCCTTGAGTTATAATACAATGAGCACATTTTACTGATGTTGTGAATCGTAGGTACGATGGCACTGTCTTGCTGATTGAACATGAAGCCCAGCCGGAGTGCCGGAATAACAAAGCACAGCAGGTCGCACAAAATGATAATGTACAATTTAACATGATCTGCTTTTCCTATGCTGAAATATTTCATCCGTCTTGTTGTTCGGTCAGCACAACGTTTTGTTTGTGTGCTATTATTGGTGATGCGTTTATCGGAATTAGCTCCGAATTGGGGCAAAATGAAGTCAATGAAGTCATTGCGACACACTTAACCGTGGTGAATAACGTTCCATTTTAATGATAATTTAGACTCCATCAAAGTATGAGCATCACTCATTGCACCTGTTTGTATTATGGGTCTTCCATGCTAGAACGTTTTGTTTTCAAGAATTTCGTTGGTGCCGCCCCCCCCACCCCCAATTATCCAAATACATCACGTATTGGTGGGGGGGGTCACGTTTCCCATCTCATTAGTAATCACCCATGGGGCAAGTAGAGACACGAAATATCGATGTCAGGAAATGCGACGGATAAATCCAGAACCGGTCGAAATGACTGTTTGGCCTTTCCCGGTGGTTCGGCTTTTCCACTGTTTTAAGAGATGTTTTCAGTGTCATATTTCTCACTTTCTTCGGATTTATAACTGATAAGTCGATTTTGCTCAGTCAATTTAGTGCTACCCCTGGTAAGCGCAGATCTTAAACGCAGTTTATTTCAGTGCAAAAAATAATCTTGGGGTACTGATTTTCACGGCGTGATTTGTGCGGTTATCGATGTTAGCCACGCTACTCTAAACAGGTCGCACACACACAGATGCACGAGTTGAAACGCGCTCTTCTCTACCCTTGGGGCTCCAGAAACAAACGTATTTGCGTATCCGCACATCCTATAATGCAACCGTAGACCGTCTAACCGATTTGTCCTCAGTTTGAAGTTGTATATATTACATTTCACACACGTCTGATATCAGACTGTACCAAACAAATCATTGTACAATAATCGTTATGAAAAAGAAAAACATTCCATGATTTGCGTGCGGGCTGAATACTGCCAAGTTGCCCAGGCCAGAGCAGGCAAATTTTCTTGAGGATTCCACAGCCGGAGCCTTCGGCTAGCCAAAGGCTGACCCATAAGGCAGCGGGGCGGTGTGCAAAAATCGCAGTCCATGGGGATCCGGTGTCCAGTTCATCGGATCATACGCCTTTCGGACGTGGTGAAACGCCCTAGTTGCCCCATACACCTCGATGCCCAATCGAGCCGGTGACCGTTGCCACAACTGGAAAGGTGTGGGTGTGGTTAGTACGTCTCCTCTTTGTTGATTTGAAATCAGGGTTTTTAGCCAACTTCACTGGGTGAAGTAGCAGTGGTTCACCAACCTGATTATAGCCCCGGATATCGGCTTTTTGTCCTCTCACTTTGGTGGGAAAACCCCTCACCACGAGTTAGTAGGACTTCCTCAGCGGAGGCTATTTGAGACGCTTAATCGTATGGGAGCATTTCGCGAGGTGCGACAGAATAGTGACCAAATGCAACCCCACACACCCGCCCCCGACCATACTAAGGCTTTTGGAGGCATTTGAAGTACTTGTTCCTTGGGATGCGGCATTGCAAGTAGGTACAGCAATAAGCGTGATAGGCAGTCGTCTAGGTGACAAGTCACTCAGTGAATACCAAATCATCTATCGAATGCCTCTTCACTCTTCCAACGCGCCACAGATTCACGCAGTTTCCGCAACTTAGTGGCTGACCACGCTCCTTTACACACCAACTCAGTGCATTCAAATGCATGTATTGGACGCACTGTAACCTTCTTGGTTGTGAACCAATCACACGAAGAGTGCCTCAGACTCCGAGCGACGCAAGAGTTCACATCGCGATGCATTCTCCCCCTGAACCTACCCATCTACACTCTCAGCGAGACATGTATGACTTTCGACCGAATGAAACTCCAATCCTCCAGAATATCCAATTCTTATATGAATTATGCAGATTCGTAAATGAACCATTAAAAATAATTGTTTTCCATTGAATATGTAATCTTAGTCTACATATTTTTTTCATTACTGCTTCCCCGCCCATCCGTCATACCGCAGTCTGACATGACACGAATCATCTTTATGCAACGCAAACTTTCCGCCTCGTTCCGTGATTCACTTTTACTGCCAATATTCCGCCTCGGACTGAATCTGCTGCGGGAGGCAGATAAAAATATCTCGTCACTGGATCTCAGCAATCTTGGTCAAGTGAGTTACACTACAGTTTCTTGGTTGCTTCAGTTCTTCCACCCACCCCCGCTCCCCCTCCCTTTTCCTAACCCCGGCAAGATGTTCACATTTTTCTCACATGCGAAACATGTTTCTTTCGAGGTAGTAGGTAGATTTCCGGACACGGAAAAGTTGTCGTTCTTAGTGGGAAATGAGGATCAGCTGCAATCATTTCGTTGTGAGAACAGCAGTCACTGGTAGACACAATTCGTTTGGTAAACTAGTCACAAGCATCGGAGTGTTTACGCTCAATGAGGTCAACAAAATCACCACAGTGCTTATCACTGGCTCTGACTAACGATTTTACACACCTCATCTCAATCCAGTGAAATCCTGTTTAACCCTGAAAAAATGATAGGTAAGCAGTACAACCACTTAGTGCTACTGCCCCCCCCTCCCCCCTTCCCCCC